TCCTGCTGTACAAATCCGTTCAGAAACAGGGACATCCTTTTCAAGGAGAAAAGGAAACTGTGAAGGAAATGGGTGGGTTGCTGAGCTGGTTTTGGTAGTGGGAGGAATCTTGGAGCAGTTGATGAGGGGCAGAACCAAACACTATGTTTATCCAGAGTGTGATTCACTTACCAATGCACCTGGCTTTTAAAAATATTGTCATTAGTTTATGTAATGGAAATAAGTGAAAGCCTAGCTGTAGGTCAGGACCTTTTTGTGCTAGGCTCTGTACATGCACAAGTTAAAGATGGACCCTGCCCCAGAGAGCTCTTTATCTTTGTATATGACAAGAGATAGCTGTGGATACAATAAATAATGGAGGTATGCAAGGTAGTGAGATGATTATGATTAGCATAATGAGCCACAGCTACAGTACATCAGCTGCCCATCCATTGTCAAGTGTTACTTAAGTATCACCACAGAAATTAGAGAGAGGCATATAAAGGAAGGGAGTGTAGTAGCTCTTGTAAATTTGAATTCTTCCCGTGAATAAAGAATGTGAATAAAATCCTAATATTGCCGTCAAGATGTATATTGCTGTACACCAAGATGAATGTTGCTGTACACCATGTAAGACCCAGGGGTATAACTTTTAATACATGCTGGGCAGTTATAGTATATGCAGTAGGTTTAATCTTTCACTGATAAATAGAAGCCATTGGTTCTCTTGTGTTGAGTAAGGATTAAGTGTTAGAAGATGTCATGATTTTTTTTCAACACAAATATATGTTATATATTCTACAACATAGATATATAAAACTGAACTATAAGTAGGAAGCATCCTGTCATTCATAGAGAGAAAGCATAATATAAGATGTACTAAGAATTGGCTTCATTATCCTTCCACCTCCCTAACTTTTCATTTTTTACGTCTTTATTATGGCATGAATTTTAATTAAGATACAGGAAAATGATTTTATGTGTGGGGGAAATCTGAACTGAAAAAACAGGCATATATTCTTTTAAAATGAAGATTCACGAATGGCATGGCACTGATGAGAAACTGATCTTTTGCTCCGTTTTTCTCTTCCTTCTGAAGAATCTGACAAACTAGCATAGATGTGATTACAATAATTTCCCTAGTAGCAAACAGATTGAGTAGAAATGATCAGATTAAGAAAGGTGTGGACAACAATATGAATTTTGGGCAGAAAACAGCTTTAAAGGCCATTTCACCAGTACAGGAGCAGAAGCTGCTCTTTTGCTGCTCCTTTAGTAAGTGGCTTAATTTGGGACTAGATGCCAGAACTCTGACTCCCTGTGGACAGCAAGTATGTCATAGAGGTTACTATTGCTAGTGTGGCCTTCTTGAATGGGCATTAATCATTATTTATCTGAAAATGACATGTTTCATTTTTGTGGAAACAAATGGTAACAAGCTGGGTCAAGGAAATGCCATGTGCTCAGGGTATACAGACGATCACCGAGTACAGGTTGATATCAATGAATAAAAAAAGATGTAAATAGTTTATAAAAGCAATTTACTAGCAGCCCAGGCAAGGAATCTACTCAGCCTTCTACCAAAGTGGGAGAGAGATTTGTCTCTGATTAGCAGGATCTAATATAATCTGACACAAAGACAAAAACATTTCACTCTTTGCCAGACTTTGGGGCTCATTTGAGTTCTTTTAACTATAAGCTGACTTACCCTTTAATTCTGAGTTAAAACCAAGCAGGTCACTCAAGACTCCTCTCTGTATCTGTGCTTCTATGCTCTCCCTGAGTAAAAAATGTTGTAAACTGTTTTATTTCTTGCAAAATGAGGGATTCAAAAGCTGGAACCTTTTTGCAACATGAAAGCTGTACTGCCTGTGGTTCTTTGCACACTCTGGTGATTTTTGTGCTCTCATTTTAAAAGAATTAAGCCAATTGTATTTTAATGAACTCTTACTTGAGCTTTGGGTTTTTTTTTAATTTACTAATAATTATGCTTTCTGTTTATTGCCAACTAATATGGTGTTTTCTTTTTCCTTGATTTAAATTGGTTCTAACTTTCCTTTTTTACTCTGTCCTTTCCTCCTTTAAATAGTTTTTCTTACCTATTGCTGCAAGAATGTCTGAGGAGTCTTACTTTGAATCTAAAACAGAGGAGTCAAACAGTGCAGAGATGTCATGTCAGATCACAGCAACAAGTAACGGGGAGGTTGCTGGCATGAACCAAAGTCTGAAGGCCTTGATGATGACGGGCTTTGGGGATATCTTCTCTGTGAACCAAGCAGGATCTGTCCTGCATTCTGGAATGCAGATAAACATGCAAGCCAAAAAGAATTCTTCTAAAAGCACCTCTATGAGAAGGGGGAAGAAAATCAACATGGCTGTGGGTTTCAGTGAATTCGACTGGTCAGATGATGGTGATCATGACGACGATGATGATTATTTTGATGATTCAGATGATAGTAGTGAGTGAAATCAGAAACCTAATTGAATCTAAAATTTGTTTCTAGCAAAGCAAAACAATCATGTTTTAGAAAAGCTATCCTGTCATTTTGGTCCGTTTAAATCCTGTAAAAGAAACAAAGGCAATAGCACTCTGTTTTCTAGGCCAGTCATATTTGTATGTAAAAATACATGTTATTTTTGTGTTTGCCTGTTTCTGCTTTGCTGAAATTTGGAACTAAACTTTCAAAACAAGTTGAGATATAGTGTTTTTACCCAACTTTTATAGTGTTAGCTGCAATCCTGGGTGCCTGATTACAGAAACTATGGCTCAATATATTTAAGATTAAAAAACACTGGGGGAAACTTTTAATACCTATCATTTTTAAAAAGACATTCATTACTTTTCTTTGTGTTGCTATAGTTTTACTCACCAATTTTATTGTTGAACATATTAATATATTTGTACTTCCACACAGGTTTTACCTATAAAATCCATTCTTTCTCATTCATGCACCTTTTCCTGTATTTGTGATTTCTCAGTCATTCTCAAGGCTGTATTCTGTGATATAATAAATATATTGCTACGGTGGCAAAGCTTGATTGAGAGAAATAAAGTTGTAATTTAAACACACACTGTAAGAACAGTAACTGTATCCAGAAAATCACTGGTAATAGATCATTTGTAACAGTGTTTTTTGGGATTTTTTTTAAGTATGAAATTCACTCTTTAGCGCAGTCGATTACAATCAGATCTCAGCATCTAAGAGCAGATATTATAATCTACATGCGCATTTTTTGTTATACTGGAGGCCTCATTAACTTTGTTGGCCTTGCTCTGGATGTATTGCATTGTAGCTAAGCAAAATTTGGTCTCAGGTTACTTACAGCAATTTTTTACTATACTGTATCTGTTAGACCACTTATCATTGTCTTTCATACAAAAGGAGAGAGAGAGTGAGCAAGAGAGACTTTAAAAGGGACGCTGTAAACTTGTTTCGGCTCTCCTTCTGTGGGTTGAGTTAAAGTTTGGAGGATGATATAAGGAATGTTTGCTAGATTTCCAATATCTGTCTTTCTGCAGTAAAATAATTTTTAACTTATTGTCGCTGTTATGCATCATTCTAAAATTCAGAATGTAAGTATCTGTTGCAGTAAATAAACTTGACACTCACTGTATTCAGAGCAGTATTTATATTTTCCTGATGACCTCTTTACTGGTAATGCAGAAAGAGAGAGGGAAACCAAGGCAGTTGCACACAGGTGCAGGAGAAAGTGACACTTTAAAATGGTTGCCCAAAGAAGGGGAAAATGATTACTGTTTAGCTTAGATGTAGTACAGTGAATAGTCAAAAATTCGATTTACAATGTTATTAGTATCTCTGTTATGAAAACTAGTTTGAAAGGCTATTTTTAATTATAGAGCCGATTATTCCATCCTCAGACTAATATAATGACAGTTACTTTTATCTAAATATCTTAGTTAGAAATTAATACATAGATGACAGCAGATTTGAAAGGAGATCTCTTAATTGTATGGAACATTGTGTGCTGTGTTTGGAAATACAAGAAAAAACTCTTGGGGAATTAAAAAAAAAAAAAGCCTTATAGAGTGACAGGACTAATTTTTGAGTTGTGGGAGGTAACTAGCTTCAGGCTTTGAGGTCCAGTACCATTCTGATAACCTGTGAAGCACTGAGGGCATTGAATTGCCCTTGAATTCAGTTATAGCTTAAGGTGCACAGCACCTCACAGAACTAGGCCTTCAAAATGTGTAAAATCTGTAGAATCTGACCCTGATTCTGCCCTCTTCCTAGCTGATGCAAATGCATTGGGTTGATATCAATCCTCTGGTATCCAGGGCATTTTTTCATACTGGCAAGAACTTATAATTTAAATGTTGAACGGTACACTCATTTTTTATTGGAAAAATTTACTGTGTCTAGTTGAAGTGAAGTTTGCTCCTACACTGTCAGTGATAGAAACTTAGACATTTAGAAACTTCCCAGAAAGTGACTTAGCAGGATGGGAGGGGCTGATAACCAAAAAGGACAGAATTTCAAAGAAATACTAGAAAACGGACTACTTCTAATACAGATGTATATGCTTTTGTCCGTCCACACATGCAAATGGCTACTGCAGCAATATTATTTTTGTAATATCCACATATGCACACAGGAAAAATAGAAAGATTTGTGAACTATGTGGTTTACAATTGCACAGATCTAACTGAAATCAAAATTTGTCCCAGTGTACTGAGCAATTAAATGCAGAAATATCTCTTCTAAATACTGATATTTCTCATTTTCTTTGCATCTGGTAATCCAAAGCAGGTTATATACCCTAATACATATAGATATTAATGAGACTTGAAGATCCACTCTTTGGTTTAGTTTTAGCCTAATAAAATTTTTCTTCCATTAATATGTTATGCAGGTATTATTTTTCTTTAATAAAACAAGCAAAATCAACTCTGTCCTCTAATTATAGGATCATAGGAAAATAGGGCTGGAAGGGACCTTATGAGGTCATTGAGTCCAACGCCCTGCTCAAGGTAGAAAATATTCTCATACCTCTCCCATTAAAGTGGATCTGAGTTGCTTGAGTATAATAAATTTTAGATGATATACAGAGATCAGAGCTAGTTAAAAAATTTAAAATTTGGATTTTTTTTAATGAAACAGGGATAAAATTTGGCTAATTGCTTCCATTTGAAAGCAGGTAATGTATCAGAATTGTAGTGAAATAAAGACCCACTAAGGTAAAGTCTGTTATTGGCCTTTCCTGTTTATGGTCTTTTTATTTAGAATCACTGTGCTTAACAAGTCAATTTTTTATTCTTCTCCAATGACTGTTCAGTTCAACTAAAAACTGAGATTGGATTATCAAGCTGTGCTTTGTCTTCATCTAACAGCCTTGCTAGATAACAGATTCTAAAAACAGTATTTGGTTGCCAGTTCTGTTGATATGGAGGCAGATCTGAATCCAGTTAGATCTTCTGTAGTTATTTTTTGCTCTACAGTGAGCATTTTTTTTTCCCCTCTATCGAGATGTCTAACCATCATAGTGTCTGGATGCTAGTAACAGTCAGTAGTTCTATATACTGACATGTTTTCAGAACAATAACCAAAATTTTAATAAGGAATCTTCTGAGAGCCTTGTGAGGTAGGTAAAATAAATTGTTGTTACCCTACTTGAAGACAGGGAAACTGGTACATAGAAGGGCCAAATTGAAATGACTTAGTTCTTAGACATTATACGTAAACTAACACTGAAACAGGCAGATTGCCTGAATAAGGAACTCGGAGTTTAGTTCTTTGACTTGCCCAAATTTATGGAGTGAGCTAGGGCTGGAACCTAGTATTTCCTGACTCATAACACCATTCTCATGTCTTCAGAAGTAGAAAAGGTTCAGGAAATAGGTTGAACTTGACTGTTTGAATCTAATCACTTTCATAACTTAACACTGCAAATGTTTTAGAATTGAAACTGCTTTGAGGTATAATGCTTATTAGATGCTGAGGACTTCATTTTAATCCATTTTATGTAATTTGTGGGGTGTTTGGGATATGCTTAATCAGTAGGCCAGATTTGTTTACTGCAACTGAAGTACTTGGAGTTAGTCTCCCTAGAGGCAGAGTTTTTCTGAGATATGAACTGTGACATAGCTCCTTGGCACATGGTTGTGTTCTTGAGTTTTTTGTCCTTCATTTATCATTTGAAGTTTTTGTTAGATACTGATTTTGTTTCATTGTAGCTCTTAAAACAATTATTCTCAAATAAATACTGAAACATTAATGATTTATATAGTAAGCAGCAGCAGTAGATTTACACCATGCATGTCATGCAAATGAATAGCAAAGTTACTGTACTTTTTTAGTACTGTAGTTCCTTCCTTTCTGTAATCAGGCAGCTTTTACAGGTTTTTAGCTAGACCTTTAACTTGGCAGAGGTTTAACTACTATTCAGGATAGAATCTGTTTTCTTATTCCAAATTTCATGTAGCAAATCAAGATCATAGGACATGTGATAATTTTTATAGTCTTTTGAATCTACCAGCAGAAATTTGGAGATAGATGCATTTTCTTTTTTCCCCAGATTTCAACTAAGTGTATACTATGAAGTTACATAGAGCTTTCTGATGTATGAAAATTAATTTCAGAACTGTAGTACCAGCAACATACCTTAATTAAACCTTTTGTATTGCGTGCAAAATATTTTAATGCCTTTTAAAGTCTGATGTAGTTCACTGCATTTTTTGCTTTTGCACAACTGAAAATGTTTTGTACTAAGTAATAGGAAATTATGCTATTTATATACCAAGTGTGACAGACGAAACATGAATAGAAATTATTTTCACAGAATTAGGAAATGTCATCCTCCCTTCTGAAAAATAACGCTGAGCAAAGCCTGTGTCCAAGCACTTATGGCATAAACTGAATATATAATGTGTATGGAACATGCAGTTTTACAACCTTGTGTGAAAAGGTCTTTTAGAGTCACTTATTTTCTTTACTGCACTTGACATATGATGTCCTCTTTAGTCACAATATGAATTTGAGTTTCCAGATTAAAAAAAAAAAGAATATGCAATGTTCTCTGTTTTCAATTGGTGTCAGAAATTTTATTTTGATGTGAACTTTTTCTTCTGCTTCTTTTTGTTCCAAACTTCCATTTTGCAATAAACATTTTGACAGTAATTTTTTATGCATCCACATTCCTGTGTAAAATACCAGCGTCCTTTTTGCAGTCTGCCTAATGTGCAAATGATGAACCAAAGTATGGAGTCCTTTATTCTGATTTTCTCCTTGCTTCTTTTTTAAAAAGATTTAACATTACGTTACTTTATTTTTCTTCTCATAAAAATGGAAATCCTGTGGAAAGTTACTTTGCCTAGCCAAGAATGCAATTTTGAGCTTGTGCAGTAGACAGTTCAATAATATAAATATTCTATCAAGCTTATTAGGCAAACACAGACACCAACATATTTGGAATTCAAGTGTGATAATTATATTGATTATTGCAAGCAATGTGGCCCCCTTTTCACATTGGACATCATGGTTTGCCAGATGCTGCCCCACCTATTCCCCAGGTGTGTGTTGCTTCCCTATATCAGTTTCCTGTCCTACATATAACTGACACAAGAAAGTTTTCCTGTATTTTTCTGACTTATAATAGGTAGGTTGTGAAGACTGGCTCAGCAGTGAAGTGTCCCTCTCGCAGTCAAATCTGTCTACCCCATCTGCTGTTTAGCTCAGACATCAATGGCTCTGTCCATCTAAGGAGGCCATTTTTGTCCGAGTAAATTCTAGCAGGAAAGGTAGCAGAGCACGTATGAGGACATGCCAGTTGACCCAGCTGGTTTGGTCAATGGGGTGTGCTCAGCAAGGTATTTCCTCTGAAAGCAGTTGTGCAGAGCCACTGGAGACCTGACTTTCCTTTCTGTATCGTGCAGTACATCTAAGGTTAAGGAACAGCAGGAACTCTAACTGAGGACGTAGGCCACAAGTGGAGGCCAGTCATGATTCTTTCAGCAAGAGTCTTGTTCAGGAAGGCTTTTCACATGTCTGGGTGGAAGAAGTTGCTTTGGAAAGATGACAGGCATCTTGGCCAGTCTCCCCAGAGTTGGCCACCCATGGAAAGAAGTAGCATGATAGGTAAAGAATAATTTGCACATGTGGGCAGCATTCTACTGTCATGCACAGGCATATGTGGAGGATGTCTGGGGAGAAGAGTGTGCAGTTCTTAAGAGACTGGATAATTTGGGTTAAAAAGGCCTACAAAGCTTAGCTCACAATGGAAAGAGAATGCGAAAGCCAAGGACTACTGGGCAATCCTATTGGTTAAATCTGAGTTAATATAGTATTTAAATAATTAGATAAACTTGTAGCCAACTAATAATGATCAAAGTTTGGGAGGAATTGATATTTCAAATACACATAAAATAACTTTATCCATTAACAGGATACCAGTGAGTTGATGAGAAAGTTTAAGAGCCCATACTCTTGCTGGTTAGAAAACATCACTATCTTAGTGAAATCTTCTACTGTTTCATTTTTTAAACAATCCAGTCCTTCATTAACATATTCCCTCTCGTGCATCACTCATGATCCCCTCATACTTCCATAGCCCAAACCATGGGATTTTGCATATAACATAGGATGCTGTGCATGAACTATAGCACTTGGCTAAATTGTGGACTACTTCCTTCAAACATTGTGCCATCCTTAGTTCCTCAGAGGTATGACCACGAAGGCCTAGGCACAAACTAAAATATAAGAAGGGAGCAAACAGCCTTATCCATTTAATTAATAAGGAAGATTACCTGCAGTGGCCCAGTTCCCAGTCAGGTATGCTGTCTTCAGAACACCACTGAAACCTGCTCTCACAGATGATGCTCTGGAAGATCAAGACACTCCTTTCAGTACTGAAGTTAAATTGTAGCAAAAATCCACAGTAGCACCAGACTCTTTCTAATAGTCAACAAAAGGGGAGAGTGGCTCATAGTGAGTCCTGCCATGGAGGAACTGGGTGGTTGATATTCTAAGGTTAATTAGTTTTTCGCTTGGGAATGTTCTGAATAATTTTGGCTCCTGAAGGGGAAGGCATTAATCTGTCACTACCATTACATCACTGAAGCCAATCTGTGTCAAACTAATAGATTTAATCTGGGAATATGATGTATATTAGACTCTGGGAACAACTTTACCCAATACATGATATAATGACCAAAGTCCTCCTTATGCCAGAAGACATATTGTCTTCGCAGAATAAAAAGTACCACATAAAATCAGCCACCAAAATAAAGTCAGGGAGGGTAAATAATCAGACAAGAACAATATTACTCTTTTCAATTCATGTCTCTCACAGTTGCTGCCTTCCTTTGATATATGCGCATGGACTGAAGAAGATGTGGTAAGCATTTTTTTATTAATTCAATCAACCTTGTATTGATGTAGCTATAAAGTAAAAATGTTGCAAATCATTGTAAATGGCATCTAAATTGCAGTGACTTGACAACTCTGATAAGATTATAGCGCTGCATATGTATAAAATTCCTGTTCCAAAGAGGTTTCAAAACAACTTGGGCCTGACAGATTAAGGATTTCATCAGCCTTGGTTAAATGGTCACATGTTGAAATGTTTGCAGAAACATTTAGCTTGAGAGGTTATCACCTTTGAATTTATGTTGACATAGGCATGAACCAGGCAATACTGTAGTGCCCTACTAATGCATATTTAACCAGTGCCAAGAGAGGGGGATTTCAAATATTGCAGCCTCTTTGCTCATGCCATCAGGGAATTTGCTTTAAAGTAAGATTCTGAAAGGGTATGGAAAACCATTTTCATATACACTAAAATATGAAATGTGATTGTTTTTAGCTACTGTGCCTAATTCATATCCTACTTCGAACATTTGTTTAATTTAAATGACAAGCAGGAAAGTTCAGATATTTCCGTCTAACGTCTTTATTTCACAGTATTCTTAATGTGCTTTTCATCACTCACTTGAAACACATTGCATAATATGGTAATTTAAGTCAAAGGTAGTCAACCTCTGTGGCATGAGTAGCCTCTGCATGTGGTACATGATACATCAGGGAGGAGACAGATAGCACATCAGCAGAGAGGGCAAGAAGCACAAAGTAGAGCATCAGATTGGGATAGGAGTGGCAGTCTTATAGGTGCAGGGCTAATTTGTGGCAAGGTTGGCCCTCGCTGATTTAAGTAAAGTTAACATAGAACTAACTGAAAAGCCAACACAATTATAGTAATAGTCTTACCTGCTCATCATCATCTTCCATTACATGAGAGGTTGCTAAAACTTACATTAGGGTAACATCAATTTCTGAATGAATGTAAAAATGGAGAAAATGCCTGAAAAATACAAGGCAGACCAGGTTCTTTGGGTAGCTGTGATATCTTTTACTAGCCCAACTAAATAGTTGGAAAAAATTGTTCTTTGCAAGATTTCAGGCACAAACACCCTTCTTCAGGCATAAGGAGAGTCTGTTGACACCAACAGACCCTCCTTATGCCTGAATAAGGTGGCTTGTGTCTGAAAACTTACAAGGAACAATTTTTCCAACTATTTAGTTGGTTTAATAAAAGGTATCACATCTACCCAAATAACTTTGTCTGTCTATATCCTTAGATGGCTACAACCAACAACCCTGAAAAATACGAGAACATTTAAGTAAGAAAAATAATAACCCAGCAACTTGCCCCAGGACGTTAATATGAAAAAGAAGTTTGCTTTCCTTGTTCCACAGCTGAAAAGACCTGTACATTTTGTGTTAAAATTAAATTATGCAGATTAAATTTTGAAGTGTTTTGAATTGCTACAAAAAACAAAATTTTAATTATGTAACCTTCCAAACTGTTTCCTTTTTTTCCACAGTATTTTTGGGTTCACCAGCTTGTTAGAAAAGGTAAAAATCTATTCATACATATCTAAAATACTGCACTCATATTTGGCTCAAACAATCAATTTTGTTCCTGCTAAAGAGCAGTATGCATTTCTGAATTACCTTTCATATCATCAGGTGATACTTCTGGTGACATGAGCATTTATGCCAACTTTTTTAAGGAACATCATATTACTGGGAAACGATTGCTCCTTCTAGAAGAAGATGATTTAAAGGATATGGGAATTGTTTCCAAAGGACACATCATTCATTTAAAGGTATCTTAATGGCATGTCTTGATTACTGCAATTGTATGTAGTGTAAAAGTTGACAGGAATTATCACTTTTTTCCAGTAAAAAAACAAAACAAAAAAACCCCTAAAACTATTTGATTTCAAGAACTCACAGAATTTATCCCCAATAAACAAACCTGAATATTTTTTAACATGACAAAAATTTCTATCATCTTTTTTTTCATTCTGTCTTTAAAAAGAGAAAGACATCATGATCCTCTTCTTCATGACATGGTTTTGTATAGAGCATGAATTGGACTAATAGATCCCAACTGAAACCTTTGTAAATATTATGACATCGTGTCCGCACAACATTTCGAGTTTGATCAAAGTATTTTGAACAAGTACCAAAAGTTGGTTGAACTGAAATCTCTTGACTTCTTCCTGAGCTTTAGTTATTATCCATACAAATCTCTGCCTGCCCCCCTTAAGCAATTTTAAAGTTAGGGCACAAAGGGATGAATGCGCAAGCCAGTGTAATTTATGTTTTCTTGTACATAATGTAAATTACAGCAGGATCAGGAAAGCACAGACATGAAGCTATCCCAGAGTGACTACAAACAGTAGTATGTTGTTTCTGTGTCTCTCTGCGATGGACATGGAAATACAAAATGGTGAAGGTTATACCACTAGAGTTTTATCCTTAATTCTGCTCCAAATTGGTTGAAATTACCCTGATTTAGGGATTTGCATCATCTTTCTGCTACCTTTTTGCACCAGTGTAATGCCAATTACACTGAGGTAAATGTTCCATCTGTCTATGCCTCTAAATGATTGACAGAGTAGGGCTGCTTTGCTGTTTGAGCTTTATTTCATCTACAAAAGATTACGCTGTTCTAATTGTTTAATAGTTATGCTGAATCCAGCAAAATCGTGGGCTGGAAAGTATTAGTTGTGGAGCAGTGGTATTAATAATACTTATTGTCACAGAAGAGGGTGTAGATACCTGTGGTTCTACTCTGAAAAATGGCTCTTTAAAAATGGCATTGTGGGGTTCCA